CAACACTCCTACACCCGTGACTCCATTCTTTACTTCCCCTCGTGCCCCAACACTATCCCCTTCGACCCTTGCAGCCCTCGACAACCCATATTTCCCCTCATGCTGCTAGTCCCAAGGCCGAAGGCGCCCCTTTACATCTATCCCCACCCCCATCGCCGCAGAAGCTGTCATTTACGGCTCTCGCTCCCATAGAGATTCCCCCCTTTGCCGCCTCTCTCCCCCACCAGCCGTCTTTGCACCACTCTACGCATCATCCCCTCTCTCATACTACCCCTAAGGCAGTCATATTTAGAGACCGGACCTCGGCAGACCTTTCAACTAGAGAATTGAAAGTCAGTCAAATTTTTAAACGAGAAGGAATTACATTTTCAGGGTCCAAACAAGAGGACCCCCACATTTTTCTTAGAGAAATCGAGGATTGGCGGGTAGCCAATAACCTCAGTGAGAAAAAAACCCTTCGTGCTCTTTTTGCAGTATTTAAGGATAATGCGCGTACATGGTATCGCCTCGAGTCCCCACATCCTTTCGTACGAAGAGTTCATATTATCCTTCAAAGCCACTTTTTGCCCCATTGGTCATGAGGAGAGTACATGGCAAGACATTTATCGTCGTACTCAAGCCCCTCAGGAAACTGTTCGAAATTATACCATTTGCATGCGAGAACTTTACGCAAATTTGGACCACCCACCACCCCTCGAGAGACAATTAAACATTGTTTACACTCAACTCCATCCCCAGTACACTAGACGTATCAATCGTGACAGTTTCATCACGTATGCCCAGCTACTGGCTCGAGCTCATCAAGTCGAGTGGACCGATAGAAATGCCCTACGGTACAGACCTCCTCCCTCTGCTGAAGAAAGCAATGTCCCCGCACATGCTTATATTCCTCAGGTAGCAAAGAGTCATATACCCTCCCCCCATCACCCAAGTTCATCCACTATCCCCGCACTGATGGATCCCATTATTCCTCGACCCCCTAGCCTGAACCCACGAAACATGAGTCCTCTGGACCCCCTTAGTAATTATCGATACCATTCATCAGATCAGATGGTGCAAGAGTGCCCTACCAGCCCCTACGTCTGCTCCCCTCGAAGAGCCCCTAGAAATCGGAATCAGTTCTGTAAAACCACCCGCCCTCGTACAAGGACGTTTTATTCCCCTCGGCAAAAATATTGCAAAAAAATCGACGGAACCACAAGAACAGAACGAGAAGCGCCCATTCACGAACCCCCCCTCAGCCCCTCATTCTACACTACCCCCACACATAGCCCTCGCAATGTCACCCCCCTCCTCTGAGTCCCCTAGCCCCCACACGGATGAAGTAAATTCCCATACCCCGCTTATTTTCGCGAGTAACACCACCATCGACCCTTCCCCTACCCCAGAGTATATAAAGAGGTACCGCGAAACGGTAAGGACAGAGTAGAATGATGAAGCTTGTCCAGCAGAAACAAATCCATATATTTTTTACCCCCAGGACAATCCGAGATTTAAATTGAAGAGATTTATCTCGAATTACCCCTAGAATGGACAGTCAGCCCCTAAGTTCCCCATAGGACCCCAAGATACCCCCAGACCCCCAGAAAATTCACCCGGAGAACCCAGAAAACCATCCCATGTCCTCTTTACCCCCGGGACCATGACCAACTAGATCTGAAAGAAAGGCTTAAAATATTCAGAGAAAGTTAGGAATGCCCTGACGCACCCGATTTGTAAAGTAGGCAGTATTAAGTGTACACTTTTACTCCAGTGCCCCGTAATTGTAGCTGTAAGAATTGTTACCCCAGAAGGTTAGAGAGATTTAGTAATCAGTCAGTGCAAAAAGTGCAGGACTGTAATAAGTTGCCCCGAGATCTATAATTATTATGATTTAAAATTACTTGTGGATAGAATTTCCATTAGTTTAGGTTCTAGTAGTCA